GGTGGGGTGGTGCGGCTCAAAAAGATGAAGAATATTTGAACCAATCAGAAATTCATACCGCTTAAAATTTCTCGTCTTCTCCCCAACAACTTAATTGTTCTGTTATAATCATATCCCTCCTTAAGCTATTCATAACTGGCATAGGGAGGGAGACAAGGAAATCGAACTGAGAGAGCACAAGGTAAGGAGTGTGCTAAGCCGTACATGCAGGCTTTACTTCATACACTCACCCATCGCAAGCCTTCACATCATTACCCACTAAGATTAGTGATAAATGAAGAATTTTTCATCTTATTAAGTCAGTGAGCTGACAAGAAAACTTACGTGACAAGGATATGCTAAGCGCGGGAGTGGGTAAATTTAACCATGATTGGTTTGAACGCAATCATCAGTCGAGAGCGTAAACAAATGACCTTTATTTGTTAAAATGCTAACGTCACCGGAAAGCTGTTTGGGAGCTCTGTGCATTTTCATTCTCGTCAGTTCCTGCGTAGTCCTAAAAGCCCACTGATTATCACGACTTCGACACCCCTTCGCGTTAATTTGTGAATTCCAAATTTAATTATGTGAAATTTTAGCTACGTTCTTACAGGTATTTGTATGTTGACTCACGCAATAGTTATAATCTCAACAAAACCAGGACACACCCCTATTTTCCCTCGTTTAAAATGATTATAATAGAAGCATTAAAAATGTAAGCTTTTTCATTCAGCATTTCTAAAGAAGGTGAAAATTCGAAAGTGAAATGTATTCCTGACACGGTATAGTCGCGAGTAAACTTCCGGTGATTCCTTACGTGACAAAAAAAAAAACATCATACTCTGAGAGATCCCATTGGTCACTTGCTCAAACCGGAAGCAAAATAGCCCATAGAACACGTAAAAACGGGAACATAATTTATTTTTCACTGGGTGACTTCGCACTTAGCGCGCGCCAATATTGATTTCGAAAATGTGACCGACTACGGTAATTTCGAGACAAATATACTCACCTCAGTTATGAAATATTTCTGTGGGTAAATTCCATGGAGCAGCTTTCGAGTTACTTTGGGTTTCGATTCACCGATGACCGATGGCCAACCTTGTAGAAGTTTCCTAAATGGTTAATCAAGGTAAACAGCCTCAGTCTAACGTTTTTTGTTTCCAGTATCAGTGACAATATATTCGATTGATTTCGATAGTGCTTTAATCCTCCTGTTTTGACTTTTCTTCTAGTTGTTTTGGCTGTTGGTTTGGGTCTAGTCGCTGGATTGGTGGTGGTAGTTCTGTATTTACTATTACAGTATTTCCGTCAACGTTCTTCAGCAAATAATTATAAATATACCCAGCTGACATCTGATCCTAGACTTCGCTCGCGGACGATAATCAACCAGGACATTCCACCATTCTATATTCCCCAGCCTGTCTCTATTCCACAACAACAGCCCGCGAACGGGGAAATTCAACGAACTGGAAGCATTTCCAAAGAAGAGTATCGCCATGGCCATGCTCATTTGTCGGCGACAGTTCACAGTGTCAACGTGCGGCGCAAAGCGGAAGATAGTGGTGGCATACAGTTGGATGCGATCAACACTGGAACAATCTCGCCTCCGTCCCTGACACCCAAATTGCCAAGAACCCCTAGGACTCCGCGAAAAATTTCGCACTCGCAGAAGCAATCCTCGAAAGAAAATCTCTCGATTCCGCTGCATAGGAAAGTCGCGGTTCACAAGAAAAACACGGAGATAAACTTGGGAAAACTAGAGTTTTCACTTTATTACGACCAGTCATTTCGTTTACTGCAGATTTAAGCTACCCGTGGGATTAAGATAACGATTCTGGAGAGCGTTCACCCACCTGATATACTCATCACTGCATCGATAATTTTAAACAGCAAACAAATTTGGGAACAGAAAACTCGTGTAGTAAAGAAAACAAACAACCCGCAGTTTAATGAAAAACTGGAGGCATACGGAATAACTCCTGGAAAACTTTCAGAAAGTATGTTACGCTTTCAGCTGTTTGATACTCAGACGAACACAATTGTTGGAGATGTGGAGTATGTTTTAAAAGATCTTCTGCCGAATAAGTTAACCACTAAAACTCTTCCCCTAATTCCAGTGGAAACAGATGAAACAGAATGCACCGATGAGGTATGTGTTGTGAAACTTGAGCGTAGATAAGTACATAATTAATATTTACTAATATTGCGTGACTATCAAATTCAGTTTTTCATAACATAGATTTGAAGAAAATATATCACAATACTCAGAATTTTTGACGTTTGACAAAATCTACAGAATACTGAAGAAAGATTCATTGTTAATCGAGATATCAGAAACAGACAGAAAAAAAAAACGAGTTTATTTAAATGAGCGGATGTTTAAACAATGCAAAACACCAGAAAGTTCCTCGTTCCAATCTATTGAAATTTTCCCAAAGGATTCTGTCAGTGTCACAGTTTGACCCGAAGGTCTTCTGTTTTGCTCTTCAATTTTGCCGTGTAATTGAAACAAGCACGAACTAAGTCTGGTTTCTCTTGAAATCTCTAGTTTCCGTTTTTTTTTTTTTTTGGAAAAACCGACTTTAACTGCGCTCTGGATTTTAATAACAATCAGAAGAGCGGGAATTGTAACGATCGAGGGCGGCGATGACATTACGTCACTAAGGAGACAAATGTGACACCGTGACGTAAATGTTAAAATTTCCTTCTTCACTTCTTCATACTGACTAAAAACTTTTGAGACTTTTTCTTTCTCTTGCATCAAAACTTAAGTAGTTCAACACTTCCTTTCTTTTCAGTTCTTTTGATCTCAGCTCTCAGATGGCGATTTATTCTCTTATCTAAATTTTCTCTTCACTATCGCTAGCGAATCGATACAACCGCACTGAGGAAAACTGATCGCTAAATATGGGTTGTTTTAAGTTGATTCAAGTGATATAGGTCTGGGGTACGCCTAAAGAAGTTTTAGAGGCTTGCGCTAAGTGCAAAGGTTGTCGACGTTATGGATACTGACGTAATGCAATAAAAAATCGAGATTTTTTCAACGTAATATTTTACAGTGGGGGGTTCTATACCAGCGTCTGAATGAAATATAGGAGCATACCAGAGGGTCAATTACTGCACCTTTCAATCTCCCCCCCCTTCTACAAGGGAGGGGGGAGATCTACTCTAGCTGAGTCCTTGTTCATATACAGGAGCTTTTTCATTCATATCAGCAACAAAACAAAAGAGAACTTGAGCACAAAACCAGAAGAGGAATAAAACTAATTCTGGCGCGTTTTGACGCTCAATGGATCGACTGTACGTGTAAAGTCGTCGTATTAGTATTTTAAGAAGAAATTGCGCGGACCAAAAAGGTGTAGTGAGAACTTTTAACTTCTGGCTGCGGTCCACGTTTTAAATTTTTTTCGCCTAAGCTCCCTAAAGACAGGTTAGAACTTACTGTCTTAAAAGAACTTTTTCCTCTACGGAAACCTCATCGCCCGCAGTTGAGCGTTTTGTTTGACTCACTTTCATTTCGGAAACGTAACTGAGATAATCAAAAACCGCCGAATCCAACAAGCCACTTAAGGTGCCACTTGCCACTCCTTTGAGCCTAAAAAAGATGAACATTTCTCGGTTAGCTGGTTTTGAGGTCATCTCATCCGCCAGTACTTCAGCCAAAGACTCGACGCAATGTTTTGAGTTGATGTTGTCTGGCGGAGACAGAGAGGGACTTCATTTCGTTTCACTTTTGAAATCACATGTTGGTAATCGTCAACGGACAGCAATAGTCTGCGCATGCGTGGCCGACGTAAAAGGGAAATCGAAAGAAGAGTAAGAGCTTCGCGCTTGTAACAATTTTGCCATCTCC